CTATTTACAGGTCTTTTGCGAGGTGGGTGTGGGCATGCCAACTTAACAATTCGGGGATTTTGATGGGGACGGGGAATTTCCTCGTGGGACGGGATGTGGATTGCAAAACCCACCCGATACCCACCCCATTGCCATCCATCTCTATTGGAATACGTATCGGACATATTATATTAACTATTTATTTTGGCGATTGATAAGAAAAAGTTGGCTTGATGTTATTTGGTCCAATATTTTAAATTATACTAAGTTTATATTATCTTTTTTTTAATCGTGTTTTGTTGAATCAAATTTAAATCTTGAATTTGACTCCCGTGCATCGCACGGGTAAGTTACTAGTATAATTTAGAAACCAAATAAAATAAAGTGAAGGTCGGTTATGTAATAGACCGTATTCAAGGACTTATGATGCACGGACACGGCGATGGCAGCATGACATTTTCAAAAATACTAGGAATGGAGGAAGAGGATCGTTTAACCGTAGCGCCCCTTATAGCTCGTGTTCCTGGTCGCTGTCACCGTCGCTGGTCGCGGTCGCTGCTAGATCTAGTTTTGGACTTTTTGGTGGACTTTCAAAGTAGACAGAGGATAGGTGTATTACAGAGAAAAGAAAACGTGCATTTTTTTTTTTTTTTTTTTGGGCTTTCTCTAAAACATAAGAGTTGTGTCCTAATTTTTTTGAAATTACAGACACCGCCCTACACGGGCATTTTACTTTTTTAAAAGACCAAAAAACCCCCTAGGATAAAAACAGTGACAAAAATTCCCCTCATAAGTGTTAAAGAAAATGTTGATTTTCGTTTTTATGTAGTTGTGTTTTTTATCTTTAGTAATCAGTTACTTAATCAACTATGCTTCATCATAGTAGATTAATATACTTGATAGAAAAAAAATTAAAAAAATTAAAAATAATAATAATAATAATAAAAAATAAAAAAATGGCTGATGAGGTAGCCGCATAACATGTGATAGTGTTGATGATCAGGTGCACTGACGGTACTACATAGGGGGGGGGGGGGGGGGAGTTGACCCCCAAGAAAAAAAAAAATTTTTTTGCTGTTTTGGCATAATATTTTTTGAATATTACTTTTGGCCCCCCCAAAGGTTTTGAAAAAAGTATCTTAACCCCTAAATTTTTTGGTTATTCCCCCCCATTTTTTTTAAATTTTAAAAATTTTTTAAATTTTAAATAAAACCAATTTTAAATGGGTTAAACTTTTTCCATTTTAAAAAAAAATTTTGAAAATTTTCCTTTCCGCCTTTGAATTTTTATATCCAAGGCTCTAAAAAAAAAAAACAAAAGGGCCCTGGAACCCCTTTAGGGGCATATATTTTTAAAAAAAATTTAAATTTTTTTTCCTACCTGGAAAATGGAAAAAATTAAAAAATAATTCCCCTTTTTTTTTTTTTTTTTTTTTTTTGGGGCCCAAAAAAATTTTTTTTTTCCTTTTTTTGAAAAAAGGGGGCCCCCTAAAAACCTTGGGGCCCCCCCCAAAAAAAAAAAAACCCCCCCCATGGGCAAAAAAAAACCGAAAA